TAAGCAGGTGAAGGATGCTTTGATAATTTGGAGCCTTGTGCTCTTTGGCATGGTGATTTTCTTACATCGAAGCAGGAGAGGAAATGACAATGGTAAACAGCTACACCAGCGAGAAATTGAAACTGAAGGTGGGAAATTGTACCTATTAACCATTTAGTTAAGCAAACAGAACACAAGCAGAATATAACCATATAACATAGGTTATCACATGGGTGCCATTATTGGAACTAATATAATTTTTAGTCATAGTTAGGATTTGGTGGGGTGAGGAGGCGAGTTTTGGAGTTGTAGAATTCACTCATCACATCTGTCGTGCATCTTACCGTATGAAATATCTTCCTGAATATATGGGCATTTAATGATTAAACCACATAAGGACTGTTCACAGGCATCAGGCCAATCCTTCTGTTACTTGTGACAGGTGGCAAGGTGTTTGAAACTGATCATGGCTCTGTTTTAAATAACAAACATTCCTAATGTGAAAACCATTCCTCTCTAGTTTGTATTCAGGAGCAATGCAATGAAGTTTAGTTGTTCTCAACATAGTTTGATTTCTACTGCTGCCAGGTCAGAATAAAGCCCTGTTACAAAATCGCATGGCTTATGGAGTTTATTAACTATTTAAGCAGGGTTCCTCTGTTCCACAAATGGAATTCACAGCTGTGAAGTTAGTCTAGAGTAGGTATTGGAATGAAGACTTTGCTGCCAGAAAAACAACAAACAACCTTCCAATACTTGGGTTTTTAGTAGGGATCCCTCCCAGGGTGAGAAGACTCAAAATATTTTGCTCCTGTCTAGTAAGATGCGAGATCAACAATATGTCTTTACTTGATCCTTCTGACTCAGTTGTTTTGTTTCCTAACCTCTTCAAATGCTGTCCTTTTCTTTTTGGCTTGTATTTTCTCATACGCTTTGTTGGAACAAGGACTGTTGTAGAATTACTGTTGCTGGGAGGTGGGTTTATGGTATTGACTGTGTGTACATACTAGTCTCCTCTCAAATCCAGTGCCCTCCCTTTGCAGTACTGTAGATTCCCCAGCTCCTCATTGGAATAATCTCTGACTTTTGAGGGGTTTTACTTCAAAGGAGGTAGTCTTCATGTCGTTTTCTGTTGATACTTCTGACCTCTTACAAACTGTTGTCCACAAGTGAGGAAGAGCAGTCCTCCAGTCAGCCCTTCTGGGGCTCTGGTGAACAGAGATACCTACTTGGAGCTGTCTCAGGCTCTGTAATACTCCAGTTCATTCAGCCTCTGTGCCTCAGTAAAGAACTGTTTCCTTTTTTCTGCCTTGCTTCACACTGCATGCTCTTTTGGCCTTACTGTTTATTACCTGTAAGCGATATGATCAGCACATTTGTGTGGTGATATCAGGTGAGATCTCTTCAATCTTTTGCCATATAATTTAAGATGTCATTAAATTCACATTTTACAGTGCTGGATTCATGTCTAAAACCCGAGAGTGATCACAAGCTTTGAGCTAGTTATTCACAAAACCTCTGCTAACATGTTGAAGTCTTGTAGGTTAGGTGATTTGGGATGGGCTATTCACAAAACCTCTGCTAACATGTTGAAGTCTTGTAGGTTAGGTGATTTGGGATGGGCTTTTCAGCTCTCTCTGAATCCTAAAAAGCTCTGAGAATTATGAATGCAGAAAGTGCGATCAGAAAGGATCAGCTGAAAGCCTGACAACCAGATTTAGCAAATCCAGTTTTGAATGACAAACCATTAGTATTATGTACGATTGCATCTTGCTAAAATTACATGGGAGATAATTATATAAATTAATTTTAAAAGGGAGTGTCTTAGAATCAATTCTGATCCTTGCACAGATCAGATGTGCTGTTTTGTACTTCTTCCCTGGCATAGGATATACACAAGTCTTCCTATTTTTGTATTATTTGTATACAATTTTGTTTCATTAAAAGAAAAAGAATCCACCATTCCTAATAAATAAAACATTATGCACTGTCCAAAACATTGATTCTACTTCTCCTACCACATTTTGTCACCTGCATAGCCTTCAGTTTTGGCAAATATCCATTCCTGGAACATGTCTTTAGTTATTGCTTGTCTTCGTTGCTGTTTTGAACAAGGATTCAAAGTAAGGAATTGAAACATTTCGAGTCTGATCCTATCTGACAGAAGCTTACCCTTGGATCTTAAATTTGTCAATCCAGTCCTAAGTCTCTTTGCTAGCAGTGGAGGTGCTGACAATCACAGAAGTGAAATACTGCTTCTAGAAATGCTTCAGCTTTTGACTACTGTGAACTTCAGTAGTTTTCTCAACTGGGTGCAGAATGCCCGGATTATAACCAGCTTGTCTTTCCGTAACAATTTGAGCAAGTTTGTAATGGCATGAACATACTTCAGAGTCCTCTAACTATAGATACCTACTATGAGACATCACATCTACCAGCCCCACAAGGTGAAAGATTAGTTGTACTGTACACTCAACTGTCTTCTGTGAATTAACTTTGGGAGTCCTGGTGTTGCATGGCTAAAAACAGGAGTGGTGAAATGGGAGGTTAGATTTCTAAGTGCTTCCACGGGAGTGAACTGAAGTTAGTTAAGGGAAAGAAAGGTCGATATAGATTGTATCATTCAACCTAGCTAAAGGATGGTTAAGTGTGTAAACTTTTTTCTAGCAATATATATAGATAAAATCCAGGAACACTACCACTATATTTTCTGTTGGCTTTGTTGTTGTTTTCTCAGTAGTTTATCTGTCTGTCACCAACATGCCAGATGGAGATTTGATGACATAAAAGAAGTTACAGGATGGAGAGATGACAAACCCTGAACATGGTTGTATCCCTACTGTTAGCAATGCACATAGGTCATAGGTTGGGACTACAACATTACAGAATGCCCCTTCCTAGTTACATTTGATTTTGCCTGTAATATCAACATCAGTTTATTCCATTAGGACTTCATTTGATGAAAATTTCCCCTGCAGACTGCTTAGCTTAAAGAGGTTTTTTAAATGACTTTGATACTTGGTACAGATGAAACTGCTGTATCTTGAGAAGCTATTAAATACCTTGTTGGATAAGTTGCCATAATTGACCAAAAATTTTAGGTCAAAAATTTCTTTGGTGTTTTTTGTAAATACAATACAGGGTACAGCTCAAGCTGGATTTGACTGTGTCACCTGACTTAAACAGTTCCTTTCTATTGTTTAATCCTTCTTAAATTGTAAGTACAGTTGTAAAATGACCGGTCATGCTCATAAGCAGAGAATTACTGGATTGACATGGAGCACGGAGTGCGTCATTGCTTGTTTAGAACATTGCAGTCATTTTCTGCAGCACCATATAGAGAACACACTCTGAAGGGAAGTAGAAGAGCAGAGCTGATAGTGGTATATGATATATTTCTCCTACAGATGGGAAATCAATAACATATTTTTGATGAAGGTTGGTAGCTGCAATTCATGTTTGTAAATGCAATGTATCAAATCTATGTAGCATTAACAAAAAATCTTTGTGGGCTACTTAAAAAATGTTATTTTATTTCATTCACCTGTAAAATACATTATGTATCTTCAACTGCATGCTAGGGATAGCCAGCATGGGAATGAGAAATATTGCTTAGAGCCAGCATCAAATGTTTTTCAACTTAGACATCACTGGGAAATGCAAAGTTCTCTGATAAAATAGGTTGATGATTCTTTCAGTAAATCATAAAAGTCAGCATCTCTGGCTGGGGGTCAGTCTGACTTGCTGCTAGAAGCTGAAAGTAATACCTGTTGTAATTCTGCAGGACTTTATTGCTGTTACTGCTGCCTAGAGAAAGTGCAGATACATAGTCAGTAGATTTGGTCTGGTTTTACTTAATAGTTCATTTAATAAATCTGCCTTGTCTCAGTACTGAAAACAGTAACGAGAATACTTGATCATTTCTTCGAGCTCTAATTTTCAGGAAGGTGGTGTTGCTATGCACATATATTTGAATCTTCATAACACAAAGATTAAATCACTAACAGAAGTACGTAAATGGCAAAGTAATAAAGGGAAAATATCTAAATACACAAAAAAAAACCTGTAAGACTACAGAAATATCATGTAGCTGAAGAAAATGTGAACATTTTTGGTGTTATTAGGCTTCGAGAACTTCTCCCAGAGGAGCTCCATTCTCTATTATTAAACAGCAAGAATAAAGGGTATATAATCCAAAAGATGTGCAATAATAGTAGTTACAGTTTTTGACAAAAGTTAAATTGAAGCAAGACTCAGTCTTTTCTCTCCATTAAGTTTTCTTGTGCTCCTTCAGTATTTTTAATCATACTATTAACTGATGACATTAATCACTCTTTTCTTTTGAAATTTCATACAGAATTATATGCATTTGACCCAAGAAGTATTTGTATGATTACGTAGTAAGTGAGCAAAACTTTAACTTGCTTATGACAAACTAGATTATATACTACTTAATTGAAAGGAATAAATGAAGTCTTCCATTTATCCTACAAGTAGTACAAGGTAGGAGCTTTCAGTTTTAGAGAAAAACTGCATTTTCATCTCTTTGGTTCTGTGGCCATCAGGAAACTGCAGCTTTCCAATGTCTTCAGAGTTTATCTACTTCTCCTCCTCTTGTTTGTGGAGGAAGATGAAGAATAGGAACTGTGTGCCTGGGATGCTGTGGACACCAAACTCTGGCAAAGATTTTTCAGTTGTCCCAGATAGAGGACAGTAGCTCAGGCTCTGTAATCAAGCAAACCTTAAGTAATGCTATTATTAAAATGGTGGCAAACAAGGTTAACTATAAAAGCCTACTTTTCTAAGAAAAGCTACTTTACATAGAAAGCATTTCTTTATCTTGATAATATGTGTGTGGTGGGAGAGGAAAACAACAGCAGCTAAAGGTTCATACAGAGATGCCTTACTGGTCAAATGAGTGCTTGACTCTTAATTATACAACAGCAATATCCTGATCTGATCTTTAAAAATGAATCATTGCTCTTACATACCACAAAAGAGATTGTATTTAGTAATACAATTATTTTTAAAATATTATCGTTGTTACTGTTATTGTAATGTTCTGACCCAAATATTTGGAAATGTTCTAAGGCAAGTATTTGCTGTTGGTAAAGGGTGGACTATTAGAAGCAGCCAGTGTATAACAGCCACAGTAACTCCAACCCAAACTAATGCTCAATGTGTGTCTCAATAGAGATATTTAGAATGGAAGAGCTTACTTCAATCTGAGTTAAAAGAGAAGTTTCCTTCTTCTGTATTAGTTGTGTCTTTTATCGTCTGAGACATTACAGTTTGACCTAAAGAAAGGAAGATAAAAACACTGATTAATCTTCCTGTCATCAAGTGGTTGTTCCTGCTAACAAAGAAGAGGACATTGTGTTCTCCTGCAATATATTCTCTCCTTTATAACCTTCATAGGAAACCAGCCATATACAAAAATCAGAAACTGTATGATTTACTCATATCCCTTCAGTGTTTATATTTCTCAAAGGGAAGACAGAGGATGGTAACTGAGAATATTGGATGATAGAACACCTTGGTTAACGGTCTTTGGGATTGCACTCTTTGTGGTTATCACCAAATTGCCAAAAGCAGTATGTAATCTTGACTGGAAAAACAAGTGTGTTGTTTTCTGAGATGAAACAATTTCCAGCACCCTGGAGGCTGAAAAAGTTAACATCTCATTGCAATGATACAAATATTTCTCAATTGCCCCAAGTGTACTAAGCTAGTGAGCATTTATTAAGACTAATAACTTCCTCAACTGACTTAGAACATTAATAGTACTAATAAAGTTGGATCTTACTTTATTACAGTATATTGCCTTTGAATTCATATACAAACCCACTAAATTTAACTATTAAGCTAGTTTAGTGGTTAAACTATTCTGAACTAATACTCAATGGATAAAAATAAGTGCTGTTACTAAACGAAATTGTAAATACAAATGCATCGTTCCCAGTATTCCTCACATCTACAAGTCATCAGTAGAAATAATGTTCATTTTCTGATATATTAATTTTTTAGAATCATCAGAATTTCTTTGATAGGTTAACTTGCAAATTAAACAGGTTTCACTTTGACTAGTATTACTTTTTATCTTGTATCTCCAACTGGATGTCTACAGATTCAAATCAGACATAGAAGAGGGCTTAAACTATGATGACCACATTAACTACATACGTTAAATAGCTTTATCCAAATGTTCCTTCCTGCATAAGCATTTTATACATTATAAGAATATGGCTTTTAAAAATGTTACCTACTACTTGGTTTAAATATGTCATTTTACAAGAGCGAACAGAAGAATTTGTGAATGCATTTTCCAAATTGTAGAGATTTTTAGCAAGGACGCAAGAGTTTGTTTTTCAGAGACCCCAAATGGTGCAAACAGACTATATAGGATCAATAACAATGCCTTGCCTATGATTATCTGTGCTGGAACTCTTTTTAGTAATTAATTTTCCATGCCTGTTTAGCCTAAAGCTTCTCAGGGGAGGAGACTGCTAGCTGTACCCATGTAAAGATAGTGGCTATCATGGTTATCATTTAAGAATTAATAGTTTGTGACATGCAGAAATGAAATAAATAGGGCTGCATAGTTCTTCAGTGTTGAACTGGGTTTAGTTCCCAGAATGACAAAGGTAGGCTGACTTCTTAGAAACTATACAGGATGGATCCATTAAGTTTTCCTTTATTGATAGATCAGAATTTATTTTCTCTCCACATTTGACCGCTCATACAGGCAGTGGCTGAAGGCTTTTACAGGGTAGACACTAAATCCATATTTAGTCCTCAGCTTCACTTCCAAAAAGCTGGTTTAAAAGCCATGTGGTAATATTGATGTTAAACTGTCCTCATGTTGCTGCTATTCCCTTTCCCTGTTTAAATATTTTACTGAGTATTGCTTCTCTTTATCTTCGGGAGAGGTGGAAGGCAAAGTGTCAGTAAAGACTGTAAGATGCACCCTCATACATTTAAGTAGTTTTCTGAATCAGAATCTACTGAACAACTCAGGACAGCACCAATATTCACAGCAGTGCTGCATCAAACCCTGCAACACTGAACTCTTACTCTGTCAGTCCTGGCTCAAGTAGCTCTCCTGCTACTCTTACACAAAGCAGGGTGCTGGCAAGTTACCCATTTGCTGATGCTTCCAAACTGTTCTGCTCGATGACAGAAAGCAGATTAAGATATGGGGAAAGAACAGCACAGGGTTCAAAAAGCCTTGGTCATCCATAGCTGCCAGGAGGTGGTACTCTTTCAAGTAGAGCAGCTGGGGAATCTGTCTTACAGTGGAAAAACCAAACAATCTCAAGTTTTCAGCTCCTTTTGCAGATACAGTGTTAGGCTGCACCTCCTTTCTGCTGCTCTTAACTCTCAGAAGGAAGGGAAGAGTGCAATTAGTTTTACCATATTTTTCTTGCCTTTAAACAGCTTTATCTCATCCTTCCAGGTTTTTGACAGGCAGTTGGGCAGCAGCTTTCTCTTTAAGCTCATTTCTTTTGTATGTATCCTAAGTGTTACAACACTCTACAATTATTCTTCTTATGAGATAAATGTTAATCATTTATTACATTAGAGAGAAGTTCTGCTTTAAGGAAGGTAATCATAATACCAGAGAACACTGTAGTAACGCTGAACATGTCTATTTTGTTAGACCACTGTGTCTTGGGATGGAGATAAACTTCTTTGTGTACAGAATGGAGAAAAAGAAGGTCGTGGTTGGACCCAGTGGATTGAAGGAGATGAAATGCACCTGGTAAGATCATACAACAGGTTTTAAATGCCACTATTAAAATAGATGTAATGCAGGTTGTGTGCTATGTTATCTTGGCTTACACTGACATAATTGTGTATTGGTTTGGCATTTGACTTGTTTCTTAAGCAACAATTTAATTTGGAGCCATTACGGTTTTATGTCCTGTACGAAGACTGCATGATTTCAAAGCAGTACTCTCTGTTAACTGCCTGTCAAGACAAACCAGTTTGAAATGTTTATTCTGAAGAAGACATTTAACAGCATGTCCTTCATACAGTCTGTGAATTATGCAGTATGGGAGCTGATGAAATTGTGCATCCAACAATAAGCCATAAAGTGAAAATACACCATTGTTCCTCTACAATAATTACAGGCCAGATCACATTAGTGCCTAGAGACCTAAAACAGCAATTAAGTTTTTGAAATGTCATCTTCTTTTAGATCATAATTTCTATGTATCTAAGTTAATAGGACCTGAAATAAGATTCCTATTCTTTTCTCGCATAGCTGTTTATAGGTCATCACTGTGGGTAAAAGGCAGTCTTCCTGCTGACATAATAAAATGCAACTTTTATTTCTGTCCACTGTTCAGTATTATCAGCATTCAGCAGTCTAAATTGATGTTCTGTAAATGTTCAAATTGGCAACAGAGTTATGAAATCTTTGCGAAGTACCCCAGACCTGTTACTACTAAATACAATTTTTAGGTAGTACTGGAAACCCCAGAAACCAGTTTGGGAAAGGAATGTATATGACAGATCTTGCCATCTAAACTACATACTTTATATAATGCAGGTAGGGAGGGGTAAGTGGTGTAGGGACCACCATTGCAGCTGAGGTCATGGGCTCACGGAAAGTAGGGGGAGTCTCCTTATGAAAAGGAGACTCCAGAATTACCTGTGTACACATATTCCCTCTGTCTCTACACAAACACAGTACAGTATTGCCATACTGCCTCCCAGCCTCGTAACAGTTGGTGCCATGACACCATGGTGCCTTTCAGATTCTCTGCTGGCAAACAGCTTGCCGTTAGCCATACAGTGTCCAGCCTAGTAGTTTAACTTAGACCTTGCTGCAATCATACACGTGTGCACTCATCTGCACATATATGAAGCAACAGCACGAGTTGCTATTGGATTTATCTGTATTGGCATCCTGGTTTGTCACTTGCCAGCTCCATGGTCATTATCTCTACCCATTTCCTGTCCCCAAGACCTTTTTATTTAGCTCTGATGGCTGCTATCCTTACACTGATGCTCTAGTCATGCAACCTAGCCATGGACCTGAAGGCCAGACCGCTTTTTATACCTGACACTGTATAGAGTTTGGTTGTAGAAGTCATAAAATCAGATTCAGTTGCTCAAACGTGTATCTAGTGCCGCTTCAGGGTAACATGACTGCTCTGAGGCTGCTTTTTCAGAAGGCTGTGAAAAGTTCTGTATTATACCTACCAGCTCATGCAGGCATCCATGCACTCTCGCACTCGTATAGTTTATCACAATCTGTCTCTCGTGTATACAAGTCAGTGCAAAATTACTTCATGCAAAGGAAGTAACCAAGTATTTTAGAGACCAGTCCCCAATATTTCAGTCTGATCACTTTTTACATTTCATGAACTTCAAAAGATGTCTTTTTTATTTCTCTGGATCCTTACTAATGTAACTTTCTCCATTAAACATAGAGTACAAGAGTCCCATTTACTATCTGGGTTTTGAGCAGCTAAGATTACTAGGTCCTGTACTCCTGAGAGCCCTTTGATACAATGGGTAGTTACCTCTAAAAAATTGATACTTTGATAGCTTTATGATCCTATTGAACTTTACACAATGAGCCAAGTGTTAATTCAATTCTTTCCACAGTTCTTTAGCAAGTAGTACCACATCTCTTAGTAGTTTATTGCTTCCTATTTTCTCCATTTCATCTATGGTCTGTACTTTGTAGTTCTTTTTCCTCCTTAGGGTCTATTTTATGTGAATGACTTATTTGACCATTCTCCACTTCCTTTTGATTTTTATTGCCCTTTTCTATTGTACTGGTTGCTTCTGCTTTGTAGGTTTTTGTCACTGTCAGCAGATCTCTTCACCCTTATTGCACACTCCTTCTTTCAGGTTACCCATATACAGGTCCTGACTAAAATCACTGTACCAGTCTTGGTTTCGTCAATTCATCATGAAACACCTTCTCTTACTAGGAACTAGTAACGTATGCCAATAAGGTTATTGCCTTAGTGTCAGGTTTTTTTCAATATGTCATTTTATCAAAGTTCCCATAAGAAAATGTGCATAAATTCCCAGGATCACTTTCTGCAAGCTCAGGAGCGAGGAAAGTTCCTGCACCTAGGTCAAGGCAATCCCAAGCACAACTACAGGCTGGGCAGAGAGTGGATGGAGAGCAGCCCTGAGGAGGAGGACTTGGGAGTGCTCATGATGAGAAGCTCCCCATAACCTGGCAGTGTGTGCTCAGAGCCCAGGAACCACCCCTGTGCTGGGCTGCATCCCCAGAGAGTGAGCAGCAGGTCAAGGGAGGAGATTCTCCCCCTCTGCTGCACTCTGGGGAGACCCCCCTGCAGTCCTGATCCAGCTCTGTGGTGACAGCACAAGAGGGACATGGAGCTGCTGGAGCGAGCCCAGAGGAGGCCATGGAGATGCTGTGAGGGCTGGAGCAGCTCTGCTCTGGAGCCAGGCTGAGAGAGCTGGGCTGGTTTAGCCTGGAGAAGAGAATGATGATCTTTAAAGCCCCTTCCACCCCAAACCATTCTATGATTTTGTGAATATATAATGCGTGTGCCCTAACTTGTATTTTTTAATTATTTTCTCTTCCTAGGAAATAAGAGTGTGTGGAGTCAAGTGTAAGCAGGTCTTTAAGAAGGTGTAGTGAGCCTACTGCTGATACAGAAGTGAAGAACAGTAGAATTTACGCTTACCACCAAATCTCCAAATGCTAGTAATGAACATCATCCCTGACAAGAGCAAATACAGAAATGAAGATCACGTTTGGACTGTATAGTTAGAATATTTTTTATCAAATCATTTAAAAGGAATAAATAACTGCAATTTTTAGAAATGTCCATTAAAGATACTAAACACCATAAATGTGTGCATACAGTAATTCCTGAGTACACCAAAATAGGACTGTTTGGTAAAAAATAAGATAGTGGAATTTAAGAACTTTTAAGTTAATTTTTTACTTAGAATAGAAAACACCCTTAGCCTTAGCAAGGGGCTTCCGGGTAATCTTGTTTTCAGGTGTTGAATTGTAGTTGTAGTGAAGCTGTAGTATGTGGCGTACACTTAAATCCTGATTTCACTGAAGAGAGTGAGAATTTTACCATCATCTCCAATGGAACAGTGCTTCACTGAAAGTATATGAAACTATATGGTAAAGGAATGGATCAGTAGTCTGGGAGGACAGTGCTTAGAGAAGCATAACCAAGGGGCAGTTCTTTTCTAAACACTTCAGCCAATATCTGCCCAGTCATTTCTTTTTGTCTTATTCTGGAGAAACTAAAAGTGAGGTCACTGCTATAGGCTGTATATAGTTGTACACATAGCACACAGAAGATACGACTAGCATTGCTTTGTATTGTATCATTTGCAGAATGTTTTACAACACATCATATTCCTCATGTTCTCATGCAGACTGAGTGTATAACAAAGCATTGGCCTGGCAGTTTCCGACTCTGATTTAATTGGTAGCTATAGTAATAGTAGTTTGCAAACTGAAACATTGTATTTTCAGTCTGTCAATATACCTGATCTACAATTAGCACTATCAAACTGTTCTATGATTCTGTGAATCTGTGATTCTATGAATATGTGTTATTATGAAGGCTGTTGAGAAAAGCTGTCAGCATGCTCTAATATGAAGAAATGAAGATTCAGAAACAGTCACTGTGAACTGTAAAGTTAGTACAGCAGGGATGATAAACTTTCTCAACTCTGGTATTTTAACTGTACAGCATATATTGTGAGCGTAACACCAGATGTGCTCTAATGAAAATCTAATTCAAATTTGTAAAGTTTTAGTTTTTACTGTGCATAAGAAAATACCAGAAAATATTATCAGTGAAGACATAAGCATCCATGTATGATAAAGAGGGGAAAAATGCTCCCTCTCCATGTAAATTCTTGCGTTGCTATTGCAACAGCTGTGGGTCATACAGCTTACAATTACACACATATGCAGTGCAGTCGTTTATTTAAGTTCCCTTGTAGTTTTCTTCTTGGCAATACATGAAACTCCTGCCTAAGGAAGACTCTGGGAATTATACTTGAGCCTAGTCAACCAGATAAATGCAGAAGCTGCTTTTTTTGTCATGGAAGAGTGTGTTAGCCATCTAGCTATGTTTCCACATGGGTATCCCTCTTAACTGATAAGCAAACTTGCAGTTAATGGTGATAAAGCTTTCTTGTGCTTGGAGTGGGACAGGTCAAAAATTGTTGCAGTTAAATAGTTGTGGGTGAGGGAAAAGGATCAGAAACATGTGTATCTGGGCCCAAATTACTGTTCTGCTTAAGTGAAATTGCAAATAGCTGTCTATTTAAAGTGCTGTTTATCACCTTGCACAAAGTTGGGGATATCGCAGCTGCCCAATTTCAGTGCATCAGTCATTTGCTTTTCTTGAATGATTATTGTATACAGAAACTTAATCAAGTTTCTGAATGACAGATTTCATAACCATGCACAGCCTTCACACTCCTTTCTACATTTCTGCCCAAAGTAAAACAAGAGAACAATGGAAAAGAAAGAACAAACTCCAACTTCTCATTTATAATCGATCCTATTTTTTTTCAGACCACCTCTATTTTCCTTCTGATGTGAAAACTGAAACTACACAATAACAAGGTGGTTCGAACCATTATCCACAATTAATCTTTACATAATTCTTTTTCATGTTCAGCACTGACTGAGACCTTTTTTGCAATGTAGTTTTCCTTCAATAGAGCTTGGCAGTTCATAACCTTTAATTCACCAGATGTCCTCTAATTTTTGCCTGCAGC